CACTACCACTACTACTACCACTACTACTACTACTACTACTCCCACCACTACTACTACTACTACTACTACTACTACTACTGCTGCTGCTACTACTACTACTACTACTACTGCTACTGCTACTACTACCACTAGTACTACTTCTACTTTTTTCTGCTACTTCTACGACTACTACGTCTTCTTGGGGTTTAGGATTTAAGATGACGGTTTAGGGTTGAGGTTTAGGGCTCTGGAAGGGTCTTAATGGGGTGTAGAAGGGCTCATGAGGTTGAAGTATGGGCAGTTTTCCAAAGCAGGGTCCCTTTTTCGGTCCCACATATAGTACGGCACCTGAAAAAAAATGGACCCTAAAGGGACCCTAGTTTAGAGAACTACTCATATGGGGTCCTCAATATTCAGAAGAAGGTTTGGGGTGTACATGCCCTAAACCCTAAACCGCACATCTGCCTGGCGACTCTAAGGGGGGTAGCAGTAACTGTGCTCTTTCCGGGGCCGGGGGTGCAAGGTAGCTTTTGGTTGGAGGGTCCGCTCCTAGTCCTGCTAAGGCTCGTTGCCTCACTTTATGTGGAGTTTGGGGGTTTGGGTTTCGATTTAGGGCTTGGGGTCTAGTGGGTGCCAAGATTTAAGTCAAAGTCACCCTTGGCGTTTCGCGCCAGGTCGAGAAGGAGGTGGTCAGAGAAGTCCCGGTGGAGAAGATCGTTGAGGCGAAAATGCACCCCTGCGCACCACCTTCTAAGCCTGAAATCCCAAATCCTAGTTGCGAGAACCTGACCCTGAAAATCTGCAATCCACAGAAACTAGAGTTGTGGTTGGGTGTAAAGGGAGATGCATGGAGCTTGCCTGCATGGTTTCCGCATTCAGGCACCTTCATCCGGAAAGCCTGCAGGATCTGTCTTCCTCAGGGCTTCGAAGCACAATCCCGTATCCTCCATTAACGGTTTAAGTTTAGGGTTTAGGCTTTAGGGTACCCTCCATTCCCCAATTTCGATGCAACCAACTGACGCTTCTGAGCCTGAGCCAAGACCTGCCCTGCGACGGAGGTGGAAAAAGAGGTCATCAGAGAAGTTCCCGTGGAGAAGATTGTCGAGGTAGAGGTGGTCCGCGAGGTGTGACTGTGCCAATGCAACCCGTTTATGTCTTTTTGCTTGTTTTCATAATATATGCTATCTGCGCCTGTTGTCCAGTCGAGACGTCCTTACATTTGATAGAGTTGGCGTTGCGAAGCAACTGCTCTGCAGTTGATCTTTCAGCCGTGTCCTTTTCAATTTTCCGGGTTGGATTATTTCGCCAAGTAGCTTCTCCTAAGCACCTGCGTTTCCAGGCGCGTTTTCATCAGTATGATTTTTCACCTCGGTCTATGCTTCAGTGGTCCTTTCCCATGGGCTTTCCCGAGCAGCCAGTTCCCTACGAATGGGGTCACCATAGTTTGGTTATATAACTGGCCAGCAACCTACTAGCTGGACCACCACTCGAGCAGCCGCGCTCTGGCGACTGAGAAGGTGTAGGAGCCAAGGTGCTGATGTAGTAGGTTACTCGCGTCATGACGTAATAAACTCACAATAATATGTTACGATGTGGTACGGTATGATGTGACATGGTATGATTTGGTTTGATGTGGCGTGAGAAGTTCGACATAATATAATCAAAGATAATCATGGTATGATAGCCCACTATGCAGGCAACTGAGTGTCTAGGGAATTCTCACATCAGCCGGAGGAACTTTTAGGCCGGCATACTCCCACATGTCTGCTTAACCTAAGCCCGAAAACCGAAACCCTGCACAGCGTGGAGGTCGAGAAGGAGGTGGTCAGGGAAGTCCCCGTGGAAAAGATCGTTGAGGTGGAGGTGGTGCGGGAGGTGCCCTCGTCTCCCCTTTCTAAGGTTTTGGTATATTGAACCCCTACTAAAAGAAAAGTTTAAACTTTTTTGGGCCAGGGTATTGGGCTTAAGGGCTTTTGTTCAAGCGCTTCAGTGTTTATGCACAGGGACGCAGCAGGTGCAGACCATTCTGGACTCGTGCTAAAAAAGTTGTATCTTAAGTCACCATAGTAGGGATCTATGGTAAGCAATATGGTCTCTTTATTATGGTAACTTTAAATCAAATCCCCTGACAAGAACCCAGCATTTAAAGCACCAGCGTCTTCGGATGCTGTGATGGTTTTCTTGGCCTCTTCCGGCGCATGCGACTCCCAAACCCTACAGGGCCCTGCCGGCCCGCGTAAGTGACGAAGGGCTCCACAGCAACGGCTTTAATAATTAGAATAGGGTTCCGTAGGATTCCTTTAAAGGGTTACTGTAAGGGCTATTATAAGGGTTCTATAAGGGTTTAGTGTAGGGGCCTTAATCATTTCAATAGGGTTTTGGGGCCTACTATACTATATTTACAATAGCGAACCCCAGAAATAGTATTGGTAATTATTTAGGGCCCTACATTAGCTCTCTGTCTCTGTCTCTGCGTGTGTTTGCGCGTGTGCCTGCAGCGCAGAACGGCGTGGAGTACGAGTTGTCTGGATATCGTCGATAACTTACTAGTAAGGGTTCTGAGTTCTGGGTGTAAGCTTACGGGGATACTTGCTTTTGAGTTTTTAAATCCACCAACCATGATGCATCCGAGGTTCCAGAAAAAATGCCCTAAACCTTACATGAAACCCTGAACCCTAAATCCCCAGACCCTCAGAACCCCAAACTCTAAGCCCCATACGCCCTGAACCCCGAAACCCGGCGGGGGTAAGATTAGGGATTAGGGTTTAGGGTCGAGGGTTTAGGGAGAATCCCTAACCTATAAAACCAAAGCCCAAACCCACAAAGCCTAAACAGGTGATAAAGGAGGTTCCGGTTGAGACGATCGTCGAATCTCACCTGCAGTTCGCCTGGCTGGGGTTCCTTTAAGGGGTTCGTTTAGGCTCCCTTTAGGGGTTCGTTTATAAGGGTTCCTTTGAAGGAATCCCCGAAGGGTTCCTAAATAGGGTTCAGGTTCCTTTTGGGGCTCCGAGAAAGGTTCCTAAACACGGCTGGGTCCCTAAAAAGGGCTCTCTTCAGGGATCTGGGAAGGTTTGGTCCTTCACCATCGGATCCGAAGTACCTGCCAGGAGCGCAAGAGGGGTACTAGGACCAGGAATTGCTAGTATGGTTTGTGCAAGTAATCTGCATCCAAAACCCAAACATTGCAGCACGAAACCCCAAACAAGCCCTCTTTAATCCTTGAACCTCTTGCAACTCTCAATCCCACACACTGCTGGACGCTCAACCCCGTGACTGAAACACGCCCCACACAGCGGCAGGCCGAATTTGGAGTGGAGTAACATGGAAGCCAATATAAGCGCCTGAATAATTGGAACAAGGTTCTTTTAAGGGCTTGATAGAGTTTGTGCTCAAGGCGCTTTAGGTAAAATATAGGGCTTAGTAGCTAGTATGATTTGGGGGTCTACCATAGTCATATAGTTAGAATCGGGACGATGAGGGAGTGATCTTGCTTACTCTTCAGAGCCCTGCGCGTTACATTACATTGATGATACAAAGTGTTCTAAGCAAGTCGTGGAAACAAAGTAAAGAAAGATCTACATGCATATACCTACATACATATATAGGTTTATAATATATAGTACATATAATATAATATATACGTATATGATATACAACGTGCAAATATACTGGTGTCCCACCGACCTTCTATTTCGGGAGATAGCCGATAGCCACTGTCATTGAGGAGAGCCAGATCTAGAAGTTGAGTGTGCAAACCTTGGATACACTTTATCGGGGTTTAGGGCTTAGAGGGTAGAACCCTGCCGTAATCAAGGGTATAAACGCCCGATTAGGACCACGGGCCCTGAACCGACGTCCTTCGACAAAGGAAAAGATCGTCGAACTCGAGAAGGAGGCGACCGTGACAGAGGAGGCACATGCAAAGTTCAACCCCTAAACTAAAGGAAACTACAGGTGGGGAGTTTAGGGTATATAGGGCTTCTATAAGGCCTATAGACCTTCTAGAAGGCTCCAATAGCGGTAACTACCCACCTGAAAATGTCCCAGACAAAACCCTAAACCCCTAAATGATTTGACCCTAAACCCTAAACCCTAAACCCTAAACCGTAAATGGGTTTGCTGCAACCCTCTCAACCCTTGGAAAGTCCGGCTCCTTACACCTTGACTTGGGGGTTTAGGGTTTTAGGGGTTAAGGGTTTAGGGTTTAGGGTCTTTTGCTTGGCTTAGTTTCCCAATACCCAACCTTTAAACTTTTTGGGTTCTTATAGTTTTTTGTAGTAGCCGGAAAGTTTAGCCTTTTATTTCCCTGGCTTGTTGGGGAAGTAAGTTGGCTCTTAGGTCTTTAACTTTGTTGATTTCTTCGTTCGTCCAAGTCCTCGGATGGGGGTTCAGAACTCAGACAAGTCAGACAAGACACCCGAACCCCTAAACCGGCTAATTATACCGACTCAATTTCCTAACTTTCCCATCAGCTTTGAACGCTAGGACAAGACACGCTAAGTGAATACACTCCAAGGCTCGATGCAGTGTATCGGCGACATGTTCGCCTGATATCCGTGAAGTTAGAGCTCATCACACCATAGGCCCCTCTACAAGGCTTCATGTTCATACCTCCCTGGGGTTTAGGGTTTAGGGTTTAGGGTTTAGGGTTCTTCAAGGAAGACTAGGCCCAAGTCTGACAGACACCATATCTTTGCGCAGAAATCTTACACGATCGCTCCCTGAGCAAGCAGATTACCTTTGATATACGGACCCCGAAACCCTAAACCCTAAACCATCACTGCACTTTAAAATAACCCTAAACCCCTAAACCCCTAAACCATCCATGAAGAACTCGGAAGGCCAAGCCTCAGACGCCTTCAGACCTCATCACCCAGGCACGAGACGCTGCGAGATGTGTGTGTATATATATATATATATGTGTGTGTGTGTGTGTGTGTGTCGAGTTTCCTGCACTCGGAGGTTCATGGGTAGTTATAAGTGGGGTTATAAGTCCCCTAATATGGGTTATAAGTATAGTTACCCTACTTATAAACCCCAATAATAACTACCCATGAACCTCCAAGCAGATCCCTGGATACTTTGTTACAAACCCTAGATGGCAAGATCCTGATTATAAGGAGCCCCGAAGAAGGGACCCAGTGTCAAGAGATTCCAATGTTATTCCCGACGTGGGTAGTTCTCGAAATCGGGCCTCTCTTGAATAGGTCCCCCAAATAGTATGGCACCTTTATAGAAAGGACCTACCCTACCCTACCCTACCCTACCCTATCCTACCCTACCCTACCTACCCTAAAAGGGACCCTAATTTTGTAAGAACTACTCCACGTGGTTTGCCAGGCCCTCTCGGAAATCATGGAAGACCTTCGAGAAGAGGTGCGGGACACACAAGACAGCGATACATGGGGTCTTAAGATGGCTGAAGGTTTGGTTTGAGGTCTGGGTTTGGGGTTTAGGGTTTAGTAATTCTTGGGGTCTTGAGATGGTTTTAAGGTTTGGTTTGAGGTTTGGATTTGCGGTTTAGGGTTTGTATTTTCTGGTGTTGCTGTTCAGGACTAGCAGCATGTAGTTGCACGAGAAGCTGCAGGCTTCACCAGCTGTATCTTGCGCATGATGATGGGTGCACTCACGTCCAGTATCCCACCCAACAAAACCAATCTGTTCTACAGAGCATGAACGATATGCCAAACGGCTCCATAGGTAGTTGATACTTCTGAGAGTGTGGTGATAGTTAGCACCGCTAATTCCACACACTCGAGAACAAACCCAGAAACCCTCAAGGCCTTATGGGTTTAGGGTTGAGGGTTTAGGGTTTAGGGTTCACTGTAAACATGAAGCACTGGATGCCCCAAAATGCTGAGCCCCAGTCCCCAGTCTAAGCCCTGGCCCCGAACCCTGAACCCTCAAATTTGCCGACCCTAAAAGTCAAAACAAGCTTTACAACAACTCGTACGACCCATATTAAGGGTTTAGGGTTTAGGGTATACACACACATACACACGCCTTAACATCTACACCCAACTATCCCCGTCTGCGCACGCGCACACACGTGAACACACGCGCACGTGCACAAACAAATCACCCTAAACTTCATCGATGCAACAATACACACAGTCAAAATACCAAAAGCAAGCACGCGCACACACAGACACACACACCCGCGCACAAGCATCTGCACACTTTTACACACTTCATGTTTCGGTTTATGTTGACTATGGAAGTGTGTCTGTGTGTGTGTGTGTGCAAATGTAGGTATCATGTAGATACAAAAAACGACTGCCCACGCACACGCATGTGTAAATATATTATTATGTAAATATCATATTACATATCTGTGTGTATATGTATACTTGCACAGAGAGAGAGAGAGGGAGAAAATTTACAGAAACAAGTCTACACCAGTTCCCGTGGCAGGTGCAAGCCCAGTACCTTCGCGAGAAGTTGGCCAAAAACCAGGTGCTGGCCCCAGCGGTGCAGAAAGTCAATTAGGCGCTTAGATGGCTGCGTACTATAATTATCATGATGGGCCCCGACAGCCTACTCAAATGATTTATAAGGCCTCTATATGAATGATGTAGGTTATTTCTTCGCACAATTTAGGGTATGAGACGACTTGTAGTTACTTGCTGTTGGTTTGCCCAACAGCTCAGTCCCCTTCTCGAAAATTTCTTCGAGGGCCGAATGAGTGAGGGAGTGAGTACATGCACTGCGGTGTTTTTCTGGGGCTGCTAGTCATACAGATCCTTCTTACTGTCATGAACCGTCTTGTACCGTTCTAAACTACGGATCACGACATATAATCTGGTTGGATCACTGTCCTGTTCTGTTAAGGTCTCCATTGATGCGGATTCGCGATTGTTTCAGATTCAGGCTTCGTATGGGTTTGGCCGGATTTCAACATTGAGACCGTGGCCCATGACAGTTAGATGGCGGATATTTGCGTCAAGCTGGGGCAAGCCCCTTGCGCCCAGTGTAGGCAGGTTTGCCATGTATATATATATATATGTATATATTATATATATATATATATATTTGTATATCTCTGCGTGTGTATGTGTGTGCGTGTGTTCGTTTAACTGTTCGTACACACATACAGGTACATGCACGCACAGACATACGTACATACCTATGTACAGACATGCGCACACGCATACATGCATCTATGCATTCATGCATGTATGCATTCATGGACACATACATACATGCATACATATATACATACAAACGTACATACGTACATACATACATATGTGCAGATGCAAACGCATCTTATATCTACATATATATATATATATAGTCACATGTGGTTGTGCGTTTGCATGCATACATAACTACATTGGCACATGCATACACGTACCTATACATATCTCTCTCTCTATATATATATATATATGTGTCTTATTCATTGACCCATAACTAAACAACCAAAATAATTAATGGTTGAAATCAGTTGTGCAACTGAAAAATTTACAACCAAATTTAAAGGTTCATAATGTATTTCATGAAATAATTCCGAATCAATCAGTTACATTGCCAAATAAAGATTGAACCATCTATTTAGTTAACTAACCCGTTGTATAGTTAGTCAGTCAGTCGGTCGGTCAGTCAGTTAGTTATTTGTTTCGTTCGTTTGTTTGTTTGTTTGTTAGCTAGTTAGTTAGTCAGTTAGCTGATTAACTAATTAAAGAACTAGACAACTTATGAAATAATTACTGGTTAACGAACCGACTATAATTAACCAATACTATTACTCAACCAATGAACGCACTAAACAGTTAAGTCAATGTACGTATGAATGAATTAAAATTCTATTCGAATGCGCATGTAAATTTTTTTGGTTGATCCATTCGTTCATTAATTCATTCATCTATTCATTCGTTTGCTCGTTCGTTCATTGATTCAAACATTCATTCATGTATCCATGCGTTCATACATGCATATGTATATGCACATATATATATATATATATGTATATATGCTTTCTGACACAAGCATCAGTGATTCCCGGGCTTTGTCATACAGGTGGCGGAAGACACCAGGTGGTCCAGGAAGCCGTGACAGGGACAGCTGTTTCAACCGGAAGGAGAGGTAGCCGTCTGTATTTCAAACCCTACACCCTAAACCCTAAACCCTAAAACCCTAAACCCTAAAACCCTAAACCCTAAAACCCGAAACCCTTAGACTTCCTAAGCTCTGAACCCGAAATTCTAAACTTCCCAAC